CGACTATCAATGTTCAACTTCTTAGTCATTTTGAACCCAACCCAGGGGATAAGGAAACTCCTGGATTAAACGTTGAGACAAAATAGCCTTCGTGTGAGAACTTTTACTAACCCTAATTTGCATTACATGGAGAGAAAAACCACGAAAAGCTTCCACGGTTAGGTAGACGGCAAAGGAATTCTAGCCTATGATCCGTCTACCACTGAGGATATTTTACTTTCAGCAGTATGGTCGGCGCGAGTCGGAAGCAGATTTCATACCAACAAGCCACCGCTAGGATTCATACCTGGGTCACCTCGTCGGGAGATGAACGCTCTATTCCCGGAGCCACCACGATTCACCTCAGAACATTTTTAGAAATCGATACAGTGCAGTAAATGTTGATTATTATTTCGCTATTTTTTACGTTTGCGTGTTTGTAGATAAATTATTTCGTTGTTTTTTTACGTTTCACCCTTTTAAAACTCCGCCTTTAGAATGAAACTTTCGCGAAATGCCTTTACACCTCGCGAGAGCAGTGAGCGCCAAACCATCGATCGAAGAGCTGCAAGAAGCTCCCGGGGACCATCTCGGTAGATCGCGTTAACGTACTCGTTGGTCAACCTTATTTACTTGAGCTGATAAACCAAGTGTATAAAAAATAAATAAATATTGGTAGTTCTTTTTCTTGTTGATAGCTCACGGTGTGGTTTAAAAACGAGATGATAGCTCAGACGTTTCATAAGTGTGGCGACATTTGTTCTAGATTATAGCATTTAATGAGTCGACGACATGAAACGTTTGTGACGTTTCATCTGGTGAAACTTCTTTCGTATCAAATCTGCTGATGCACTGTTAAAACCCAAGATAGCAGGGTAATAATCTTCAGCAATTATCTTGATGACAAGTAGTAACATTTAAAGTATTAGTTATTATTTTACTACGACGTGGAGAATAAGAAACGTTAAAATTCTTGAACCAACTATCATTTTCAATACTTAAAAGATTCTTCTATAAAGTGAGTTAAGACTAGTGGCCCAGAATTTCAAAAAAGAAAAAAATATCTTAATGATTTATAAATAATTTGCGCTGGTTCTTTAGTCTTGTATGAAACCTTCCTATGAATTTCGAATGATGAACCACAGATCGTTTCTTCTTTATGGTTGGTGTTAATTCTTTATAACCAGCATTTATATAATAACTTCAATTGTTAATTCACCATTTTAACATTATTGTGATATGTTGGTAAATTCCACATCATTACATGTGAGGCTCAAATAAATCACGTGTTCGACATTCACGTGTTTTATTTTCTTATTTTCTACTAGATTTAGCAATAACTAGGTGTGATTGACATGATGCAACATGTGTAATTAAATTTGGGAGATCCATTTCCCGTCGTGTCAAAATTTCTCTTACAAGCAAGTGCTAGCGTGTGTTCTTCTAAAATTAGAATGAAGGCCATGGTCACATTCCTTTAGCACCACTCTCGATTTATAAGAAGATGCATACTCCGAAGTTTGCACCTTTCGCTATAGTGGGTGGCCAATTAACAAGATATTCTGGGTTGAAGGTAATCCCACGATGATCCACTCGTCAGTTTGCCCACAAAATTAGCAAATGATTCATGAACGATGAATGTGGCGTTTTTTAATTGTCTGTTTCTCTGAAACTAGGTGACATTTTGTAAATCGAATATCTAGAAAATATCAAAAAACCTTGAGCAATATAATAGGATTGCAACGAATAAGATTCTTATGTAATTTCTTGTGACTGTCTAGCAAATGTCTTGATTCAGATATCTGTCTGTTAGATCTAGATCAGTGGTTACCAATTTGGCGGCCTCTTTTTGTGGCCCACGATCTAAAATGTAGTTGTCGTTTTTGCGGACGATTTTCATAAAAAATCTATATGTGTTTAAAATACTTTTATTTTGTTTAAAAAAAAAATAACCTAATTTTTTTGTTTCTGTGAAATTTAACATACCAACGATGCAAAAAAAATGTATTTCTCAGGTTTTGCATCCAAGAAAATATTTATTCAAATACAAAAATAATCGTGTATGTTGCTTAAAAATCTACTTCTAGTTTTAATTTGTAATTCAATACGTTTGTTTTGTACAACTTGGTAAAAATCTGACAGTAATATTTAATGTTCCTTCAAACATAAGAGTTCTATATAAAATTTTGATTAAGTTGCGGCCCGCTATTTGACTGGTGTTTTTAATTGCGACCCCCCGGCCTCATGTAAGTTGGAAACACCTCATCTAGATGATGAAAGTAGCTCTTATTCCGTTCTTGTTGAACAATAAAGTACTGTCTTCCTGACTATTACTTATTATTATTTATCATTCATTAATTGCCTTAAAATTTTGAACTTGAAATAAAAATACAAACAGCTGTTTAGTGATACATCCCTGCAAACTTGTGTGCGGAATCTTTAATCGCACAAAATGTAAACCACATTATTTTTACAAATGCGGAATCTGAAATTAAAGCTCATATTACTTCTTAAAGTATTAATATTCATCAATATGTTTGCCTTTATGCGACACAGTAACTCCAATATGGCTATAAAATGGCACATCCCCAGAAATTAAAATATTTCAGTTAACTCACAAAACGGAATTTCTTTGAACGATGTGACTTATTTGAAAAGTAATTGGACATATAATTACGAACTATTCTACTGTGTAAATTGCTGTTACAGCTTTCAAACTTGAATCCTTTTCGAAATTTATCTGTAAATGAACAGCTAATCTTAAAATAAGATCTACAGTTTTTAAAAAAAACGCTTCACGGTAGATTATTGTGTCTTACCTTCATTTGTGTTCTAAATATTCCTAAATATCTTTTCTGTCTGTAAGGATAGCGTAAGGATTACGAGCGCAGCTCAAAACAACTTCATGATACATATGATTTTACGTGTACTACATGCCTCTAAAATGATAAAATATAGAAGGAATTATAAGTTAGCCAGCATACAACCCCTTTTTATAAAGCTATTATTTATCTGCCAAAAAATATTAAGGAAAATAATTGCCAACTCTCCTGGGATTACCAGATTACATAATTTTGAAATTTTCGAGTGTCAGCGTCTACTTTTTTTCATAGAAACTAGTGCCTCATTGCAGAAAGCTTAAATGGATGATAATTTTAGTACGGAAAGTATCGCCACTAGAGACAGAGGAAAAAACAAATGACTTTTTTCTCTTCTCATGAGCACGTTCAATAGAGCCGAATCGCTGGCACTTCAAAAATTTGTAAAATGCTCTTTTCTTCACCTCTGCCTAACGCCTCAATTTTTCATGCTTAAAATATCGTCTCAACTTTATTCTAATATTTTTTTTTACGTTAAGGATCACGTTTCGATGGATAACTTGGTGATGTCACTGAAAAGTTCGAAATTTTGTCACTGTAACTTTAAGGAGACAGATAATCGTTTTTAACACAATTCTTGAGAACATACTTTAAATAACATTTTTTATACTATCTCACAAACGAAAATCTCGTTACAGGATAGTGTTGTCGAAGTTAATTTGTGATCACCGTGTTCTTCAATATTTCAAATTATAGTCGTCAGAAAATCGTGACCCAAAATGAAAGAAAACGAAAAAGAATTTCGAATTCCCTCACCATTGCCCGAGGGATTACAACACGATCAATAAACAAAAAACATTCTATACCATTTTATTTTTAATATATTTTCGCACAAATGAGACCAATACTACAACAGGAGCAGGGCTAAGTCCAGACTCTTGGAGATGCCTGAGATAACGCTACATGGAATTGCCGCAATCGCCAATTAAACTCAAATCATTGATCATTTCCTATATCAGAAAAATTTGGGGAAATAATAGTTAAGAACAAATTGATATAGAATGATTTTTCTTGCCTATTCCATATAATTTGTAACTCCTTCAGAGACATTGGGGAGCGTTTGAGTTCCCTTCATTGTATTGTGTACGTAATTTTTATTCTTTTTGTACTAATATGCGTTTCTTTTAAGCATTTTATTTCCTGAATGATCCTGTATTTTAAAAATTTGCTACTAAGGTGTTAAGCATCAAAACTTATTTGAACCAAATTTAAAAATTTTGAAGTTGGAACGAAATAAATCCAGATTCTTGGTATTTAAATTAAATATTTCTAGGAAAAAAAAACAGGGTTTGTAATTGTTTCAAAAAAGAAGAAAACGTTTAGTTCTTGGGTGAATCGTTTTTTAAAAAATCCGTTTGTAGTAATTAATAATAATTTTTCAATAGAACTAGTTGGATCTTCGTTGTTTTTTGAAGAGGGAGAAATAAATAAATGAGATATCCAGTTTTTCTTTCTCAGTGTATTTATTTTTTAATATAAAAAATTATTTTATTTTTTAATATAAAAAATAAAAAGTTGTTTAAAAAGTAAAAGGGTCTTTAAAGAAATGTTGATTGTAATGCTAAATGCCTTGATCTGTAAATAATAGCATTTCACAGAAACATTTATTATGGAGTAATATTTCCCCATATGACACTTGATGTTGTTGTCGTGTCTATGCATACAGTGCTAGTGCAAAGATTAGAGTCCTCCAAAAGTCTTAATAACAAGATTTGCAAGTTCTGGGGCCCGATGGCCATGGAGAATTTCGATGGGGGGTGCTCCCAGTTGAAAGAGGGAGCCGATAATGGCCTGGCAGTCAAAAACATGGTCTGGAATTAGTTGCAAATGAGGACAGTACTTGCAGATGGGATGGGATTTTATATTGGTGCGTGAGATCTTCATGCTTTTGAAATATCTAGTGCATAGACTAGCTATTGTAGAGGAGAGGTTTCTTGGGCAGTTTAGATCGGGGATTATATGACACTTAACAAATCTGATTTATACTAATCTGATTTATTGTAAAGAATTTTAACATCATCTCTTTACTTTTTTTAATCATGAAAGGAAACCATTAAGAAAAGTCTTAATATTTTTTTAATATTTCAACTTGTTTTAAATTGCTATTATTGGCTGATTTTGTTACAACCTTTCCTTTTTCAGGTTTGCGCCTTATGCAAAATTTATGGAGTGTAAAATATGCCGCCAAAAAGTTCATCAATCTGGTTCTCATTATTGTCAAGGTAATTTTATTGTCTATTTATTCTAATAATTTCTTTACACCTATAAGTTTAGATTTTATTAGACATTTCTGATAAAATTGCATAAAACCTTCTTGCTGCAAATTTAAGGAATGTAGTTTTAAAAAATTAATGAATGTATTAACTTAATTTTTAAGTAACAAAAGAGCATGTTAAATACAACACCATTATCATCCGTTAATTATGTTGTCCGACAAAAAAAAAGTAAATGTATATCAGAAGCAATATTGAAAATTCGGGTAATTTTACTAACAGAAATGGTGTTTAATTTAAAAAACAACTATTTGCGTTAAAAAACAAACTCTTTAACTATATTATGCAAAGTTTCCTGTTATTGAATTTGTCTTTTTTATCTTTTGAATAGCTTTGACAATAAAACAAACCTCCCTCGAACAAAATTTAAGAACTACTGTTTTAAAAGAATATTCTTTGGTAACTTTAATAGATAATATTCAGTAATAGAAATCAATTTCTCTCTTATTTCAATGTCTAATTTAGTTCTAAGACATTTCCAGACATTACCTTATATTTTGTGTATTTCAGATTTGAAAAGAACAAATTATTATTAATGATAAGGATAATAACAAACTTAAAGTCTAAAATATATTTGTTTCATTGCTTTAGAGATTATGTAAATTTATGCTCCTTGTTCCTTTATAATTATTTTAATATGCTGTTTATAAACTTACTAATATTTTTATTTTTGATTTTTTTTTCAGCCTGTGCTTATAAAAAAGGTAACATATTTAAAATATTTCATAAATTTTTAAGTTTTAACTGACCTGTTTTGGGTTTATACTTGTGGATTATATATCACTTACTTCATAATAATTTTGGCTTTTGCTTTCAAAACTAACAACTTTTTTTTAAAATTATCTTTATTTAATTTTTTTTCTTTTTATTTATTTATTTATCTTTAAGCGTTAATTCTTTTTTTTTGAAAAAGCTAAATTTTACTTCATAAAGGTGCCATTAACAAACAAAAAAAAAAAAAAAAAAANAAAAAAAAAAAAAAAAAAAAAAAAAAAAAAAAAAAAAAAAAAAATCTGAAAATTAATGAAGTTGGTTTCAAAGTTAAAATGCTATTCATTTGCTTTATTGTTTTTATATTAAATTTAGTTATAAGTAAACTGTCTCTCGTATTAGAGTTAGTGATTCTTTAACTATTGCAATATCAAAAATCGTGTACACAGCTTATCTAAATTGCATTTTGTTATACTTAATACAAATTTAGTGTAGTGTGATGTCTGTTTCAATATCAGAAATAAAATAAAAAAACTCAAATACATCATGTTCTTTAACCACCGTTCTGAATGTGTATTTTTAAAATTCTTGTTAAAAAGGATAATAAGGTGGGGGAAAAAACATTTACTCATTCTGATCAATTGTTTTTGAAATTCAGAAAAGTTAAAGAATGAACTTCAACTAATTTTGTTTATCTTTTGCTGATCAAAGTTAGAACTTTTTGTAGCCAACATTATAAACTTTAACTAAACATTTTGCAGACCATTATATAATTTTCTTTTACAAAGAGAAATGAAATATTTTTCAATAATTTAAAAAAATGGAAAACTATTTATATTATCTTCTGTTCATCCTGCCTGCAGGATTCTGCATTTTAACCTGCACTTTAAGAGGCTTATTTTTTGTTGTTTCATAGAAAAACGGTGTAAAGCAAATAAACCTAGTGCCAAAGAGTACATGCATGTATTGTACTCATTCAATGCCATTTTATTTAAATCATAAATCTTAGTAATAGAACATATAATAGTGCAACAAAAATTTATCTTACACCAATAGATGACATACTAAGACCAGAAGTTAAGTAATGTATGAAATAAAAGTATTCAATTTTTGATGGTATGATTTTTTTCGAAAATTATTTTATTTTATGCAAAAAGTGAATTGATATAATTTTTATTTATTTATTAAGTTTTTTGCTTTTTTAATTAGTAGCTGTGGTACTGTACAGACCCTTAATTTACTTTAGAAACATAATGAATCTTTCAAACATTTTCATGAATACACTTTTTTCTGCTTAGTGACGAAATCTTATTGACAAAATTTTTATTATTTAATTTATTTTGCATTTACTCAAATAGATAATTTCTTTTTAGGAATTTGTGCAATGTGTGGTAAAAAATTATTGGATACAAAGAACTATAGACAATCTGCTGCCTAAATTATTCTGCAATAATTTTACTCTCTCAATTGTAAATAAAATGTAAAATATTTTTTGTCATCCTTTTTGAAACTGTTAATATGGTATTTATGTACAGTAGGAAACCGATTATCCGGAACGATCGGGACCATCGCTATTCCGGATAACTGATTTTTCCGGTTTTCTGAATCGCTACAAAAAGCCGTTTTTTTTATTGTTAAACCCAACTAAAAAAAAAAATTTTGGAAATAATCTTAAAAAGAAGAAGAAACGATGAAGTAATACACTAATGATTATTTCCAAAATGATGGTAAGGTAAACATCTTTCAAAAAAGAAAGAAAAATCTCGAAATCTTATGACGAAAAACACATTTTTTTTAAAAAAAATGGCGGCAAAATTTATCGAATTTCGTTCCGGTTTTCTGATTTCCGGATAACGGGTTCTTTACTGTATTAGTATATTAAAACCTTGGGGGCAAAACGTGGTAATATACATTTTTGTAATGTAGAAGTAAACACATTCTTTTGTCACTGAAAAAATGAAATTAATCAAAGTGATATTCTTACAACTGAACTAATATTGTGCTGCTGTCTATCAACAAAGGCTCATACTACTTTAACAGAATGAAAGCTCTTATTGGATATAATTTATTTACATTAAGGAACTGATGTTTTTGTTGGAAGAGGGCTTTTATGCCCTTCAGTTTCTCATATATGTATTATTTTATAATAAAATTGTGTAAATAAATTATGTAAGATGTTTATAGGAACTAGACCAATGAGTCATATATGTTTTTGTAAAATGTTATGTGTCTCACTAAAAAAATTGGAAACTAAAGAGCTCCTCTTTATTTCATATGTTTTATATCAAATTCATTTGTAAGGATGAGTTAAAATACATTTACATAATATGAAAACACACTTAATAGAATTAAAATCATCTGCTCGTGCAAGAGCATACATTTTTGCACATTTTAAAAACAGACCAGGCTCTTTGGATTTCTTCTGGTTCCAACTGTGCTCGATTGTAGCTGTTGCTATTGCAACTTGAATCACATTCAAAATGTTCATCCTATAATTAAGGCAATGAGATTACAACATTTAGCTTAATTTCACTGAATTAAACGGATTAAGGAAAAATATATAATTTAAACTTTTTTTTATGAAATTTCAAAAAATTGAAGTCTTGCAGAATTTTTTTTCAATTTTTGAGAATTTGAAAATTGAAATTTTGATTTTTTTTTTCAATTTGTATGTATTTTTACTATTTCTTTGTTTTCAATTTGAATAAGGGATTGATTCAAAAATAAACTAGTTATCAAGATAATTAAAATATAGCAACATGCTGGGGACAGCGTAAATTATATACTATGTACTACATCTATATTTTTAAACATAATTTTAATTCAGTGCTAATACTGTAACTTATTCTGAAACCAGAAGTTAGCCTAAGACATTTTGGGAGTTGTTTATTTTTATTACTGATTGGATCCTCTCATTGATGTGACCACAAATATGAACCAACATATTGTTTATAACATTCTGGATGATCAAGGTGTAACTTTTTATTCAACATCTACATGATGAGTCTATCATATGCCCCAATTTTCAATGACCATGGCATAACAACCAGTTAAGTAGGCTGAAAAATATGTGACTGTTTTTATGAACATTCATTCACGAACCCTATCACATCTCAATCAGCCTGTAGAATCAACTAACTTCAACATTAAAGTAAATATGTTGGACATATTGCAAAAGTGGGATAAAATTCGGTGAACATCTTTAAAGTTTGATTGACAGGATTATCAAATTAAATTTTTCAGGAAATGGCTTAAACAAGATGTGATATTAACAATGCTAAGTATTTTAGAAACACTTGCCACAAAGATTTAAGTAAAGAGACAGATTTGTACAGTATCAATTGATGCTATTCATGACTTTTCAGAGCAAGACTAATGTTTTCTTTTTCTGGTGATCTTAGAACAGTTTCTAGTTATAACCTGCGCTTCGATTTTTTTGTAACAATTACGGAATAAAAAAATACAATCACTTAAGACTTTTCTATTTCTTACAATTTCAAAAAAAGGCGAAAATTTGTTCCTGAAGACAAAAATCTTTATTTGCATTTTCTATAAATTTATTGCAATTTAAAATGCAATAATTCCTTTCATATTGTGATATGTGAAAAATAATTGTTTTTTAAGATGCCTTTTTCCAGCCATATGAGATATTAAATGTTTTCTTGTTCTTAATAAATTTCTAATGATAGAGTATCACTCCAAGCCACCTTTCAAAAATAAATGAAGACATCACTTCATTATATCGAGGAAAACAAAACTTCAAGTACTTCTATTGATTAATTAAACAAATAAACACTAAAATTATGTAACTAGTAATTTTAAATTAGCAATTTAATACCATATATTTGCGAGTTTTTCAATTTTTTTACACTTTTTTTTAAAAAATTTTCCTTAATTTTTTTTATTATTGCTTAAACTGATGAAAACCAGTTTGGATATTTTTGGAAAATTCTTTCAGTGTATAATAAACGTAAACAAAGATATTTATAACGAAATATAAAATAGACAAATGAATAATATAACTATCTTTTAAAAAATGCTGATTATAAAATTGCATTAATATAATATTGCCATAAAAATTCAATTAAAACTAAAATTACGCCAGCTACATTTTCCCCATTTTATTTGGGGACGACCTTGTATTTTAAGTGTTTAAAAAGATACTGACAAGTAGAGTAAATATCCAGCATCAGTTTATTTGAGAAAATTAATTAAAAAATGATTTAAAACATATTTTGAATTTTTCCACTTAGTCCACTATTATTTGATGAGTTAAATCAAGAAGATAAAGTCTTAAGGGTAGGAATGAAGTCTAAATACAATTGATTGTCTTTTATGTGCATACAATAAATAAAAGATGAGTAGAAATATGTATGTGTAGTTAAGAATTATGGTGACCTCCCTACATCATGCATTCCAGATATTAGTTACAGTTACTCCTTGGTACTACAGTCCATGCTACCCATGATCTATGACCACCCTGGATATTCTACTCCAAAACAGTTTCTCTTGCTCTTTTGCATTCTAATTTCTCATTTTTTAGCTCCTGAGGTATCTCTCAATCTTATCTATCCATCATTTTCTCTGTCTTTTCTGTTTTCGTTGACCATGGCATTGGCGGTGAATGATCTTTTTTATGCATCTGCTGTCATCTATTTTCCAAACTATTAGATTATTTTCGTTGTTGATTTTAATAGAGTTTATTATTTTATTTGCATTCTAGATATACTTAGTTTTTTCTTCTTGACAAGCCATATGTAACAAGATGCCTACTATATAATATTATGGATCACAAATACCTATTGTTTCAAAACTGTTTATATAAAATTAAGCCTTCATTTAACACACATTATTACATACAGTTCCTGAAAACATACCTCTATGTATGTGGGATTAATAGCTGATAACCATATTCCAATAGAGACATCTTCCCCCTGAAAACGAAACATTTCATGTAATAACAAAAATAAGTTTAATTTTATTAAAAAATTGTTTTTATCGCTAAGAACTAATCTGGACCCTTTTTATATAGACTAAATTATTCAAAATTCTATAAAAAAAAATTAAACTTGGATCAAATTGATAAAAACAAATTTTACTCATTAATAATTTAAAATACAAAAAAAACAAAATTTAGAAGAAAAAAGTCTAAGAAAAAAAATTGTTTTATAAAAAACAATAATAAGCAATTACTTTTTATTTAAATTTTTTTTCTTTGCAATCACCTAATAGATATTTTTAGAATCGTCAAAAATGAAGTAAACACATTAGGAGTTGCAAACAAATACTTAAGTAAGACAAAATAAAAACATTATCAAAACCTAATGAATTACTGGTGAGAAAGACAAGATTAAAAATAAAAAACTTGATAGATTTCTAGATCTATAAGATAGAAAATAAAAATTGATTATTAGAAGCAACTTCAAGACTGGCTTTGATCAATTTCATCTTTTCTTGATTTAATTGACATTTTGTTTATTTTTTCATTGTTTAAATATTAATTGACAACCTCTAAGGGGCATATTTAATAAGAATACTAAAATATATGAAACAAACTTAGCCTTCCTTAAGAAAATTTTACAAAACCTACATGGAAATCATAAATCAAGTCAATTTCAAACTAAATATGAGATGAATATCTACCTGATATGGAAACAATGAATCTGAATTTTGACTCAACCAGCTAGCAGTTTGGTGAGATGTGATATATGCTGCACCACATGGAAATGCAGGATAGTAATCAGATCTATAGTCATCATCAGCCCATTTACCCACATAATTTACGGGCCAATTTTTCCTAAATCTGTTAGGAAAAAAAGTTGATAGTTTTAATGGTAGTTAATATGTGCTTATGCAAACTGATATTTATCAATCAGGATACTTTTCATTTTTGTATTAATTTTTATTAAAATAAACCAATACTGATTACAGCTTTTGAAATTTTTAAATTAAAAGTGAATAAATCTCTGACAAAATAAATGTTAATGTAGAATCAGTACTCAAAAACTAATTTTAATGATATAAGTTGTGAACATCAGTATTTATTTTGTGTTTTAAAATTTAATTTTTACTGTAATATTTTATTTTCAACCAATACATTATTTCTTGATAGTTAATTTGATGTACAGGTATGCTACATGTAAATTGTATTGCTAAAAATTAAGATGAATTGGGAAATGTGTAAGCTTAATAGGGAAATATGTTATATGTAAATCGAAATATGTTATGGAGTCAGTAATGTGTGTAAAAAAAAAGTCCTTTCTGACTTTGAATTATGCCAACTTTATAAGACTGACAACAGCACTGTAGATACTAGTATTAAATCAACTTAAGAACAGTGATATTCATTTTATTTGTCACATGCTTCCATTATTATACAATTTTCCTTTCATTCAAACTAGAGTGATAACACTTGTTTGAACAGCATTTTTCGACTTTAAATTTTATTATTTTTTATTGTTTTTAAATCAGTAATATAATAAAAATAAATAAATAATAACCATAACTATTTATAATCTCACTTTAATTGTTTTATTGTCTCGATAACATATATGAAAAGTTTCAAGAGAACAGATCAGTTAGATTAAGTATGAGTGCTGCACTGGAAAAATTAGAAGAGAGAGAAGAAAAACAAAACGAATATTATGTAACTCCATCAATTTTACAGGCGAACAAGAAATGGCTTGGAGAAAGTTTAAAACCAAATGTTTTTTATAACAACATCTCAAAAACCTATTTTGGTAGATGTTAAATTTCTTTGGCTCTAAAAGTTATGTATAAACTAATAGGGTTCAACTATTATCCAATAGGATCTTTTGTATAAACTAATAGATCCAATAGGATTTGACTCCAGCTCATTGAACAAAGGCTCAAGAACAGTGCAAAGCACAAGAATGAACCCCCTATACACCAGATTCTTGTTTGGTAGGTCTTGGAGATAAGAGTTTGTGCTAAACCTCATAAAAATTTTACATCCCTTCATCTCTAAAAGCTTCCTTTGTAAGAAATTGTACAAAATATCAGCATGTGAGTTGCAGCACATAGTAGAAAATTTTGAGACACTTTACAACTCAAGTAATCACTTTGAAAACATGTAACAAAACGTTATGTTTTCATGTTTATTTAAAATTTTGATTCTGAAATTTCAATGAGATCTAAAATTTTATATTTTATGTCCAAGTTACTTTTTGACACCAGGTAAAATCCAGTTTTAGTGACATAATAAATTAAAAATAGACAATGGAAATATTTTGTAGATAATTATTATTTTCTTATCGAATTAACGAGTGTAGATCCAGATCAAGTACCAGCTAAGCAAAACCATTTTTACTTTTTGATCTAAAGTTTATTTTGCCTAATCAAAATAAAGTTTTGCTTAGAAAGAAAGTAATCTTAGTAACCTCTTTTTCTCAATCTTAAATATTTTTCATGAAGATGTAATACAAATAATGTCTTAGTAACACAATATTCTCAGTTATTAGTCTACCCATACTATTGCTATTGAATAGAAATCATTTACGACAAATCTTATAGAGATTAGCCTTTGCAACCATATTCTTTTCAAGCATAAAGACTTCATTTTCTAATAGATTATCTTTTCTTACAATCAAACTTTACAAAAAAAATTATCTTTTCTTACAAATCATATATTGAAATCCGTTTCAGATTAAAAGTGTTCAAGCTGGAATGATTTGGCCCTTCAAAAAAGAAATCAAACTCATTTCTAGAGGTTGAACTGAACTAGGTCAACTGAATTCACCAAAATATATGCTGATCAGAAACAAATCAGAAATTAGGATTACATTAGAAAATTATTTATTTCACACTTTAATTATTATTTTTTTATTGATTCTTACCTACTCCATAACCATAGCTGTTTCGAGTCGAATTTTGAAGTTTGTTGTAATTCTTTCATTAAAGCTTCTAGATTTACGACAGTGTCATCATCAGTTTTCATTACATATGAAAAATCCTGATTTGTATGTAACCTTGAAAAATTAAATAATATTCATAATATAAATGAATTAAAAATATTTTCTCTCACATTTATATATAACATTAGTACTATAAAAATTTTAAAAAATATATACAGGATTTTATACCATTTAAAAAATTGCAGTACTTTGTTTGGTAAATTTCGATAAATATCAATGTCATCTACAATAAGAAGATCTCCATACTGATTTCTTTCTGAATTAATTTTTTCTTCTTCTTTCTTTAAATGTAATTGCCATTTTTCTGTTTCAGTAATTTCTTCATTATAGATTTTTTTCAAGCTTTCTTTTTCTAAAAAAGAATAATTTAAAATACAAAAGCATTTCTTTAAAATAATTTTACTGAACATTTAACATACTTTTATTTAGGAACTTCTACATTTGAGTTCCTAAATAGTTTTTACTTTCAGAAGTCTGAAATTGGTGGTTGAAGGGTAATGCCTTGTCCTTTTTATTTAATTTATATTCAGCTATAAGACTATATATTAGTCTTTCACAAATTAAATATATCAGATAATTTGATAGATCACACTAGCTATCTATAATAAATCTATAGAATTAATTATACTTAAAAAAAAAAACACTTTTCATTAAAAAAAAAATTTTAATAATGTTTCTAAATTAAAAGTTTTTTTTCTCTCTATTATTTATTATTTCCTTATAGCACAATTTTGATATACTTTTTGTTAATTAAAAATATGCAGCATTTAAAAAAAAAACTTCGTCAGTCTTTTTATCCAAATAATGTTAAGTAAACAGAAAGTCTAAAGAGTTCTAATATTTAAAGGGGAAAAAAAACAAGAAATTGAGTATGCTTTATTTCATTTATAATTTTTATTTCAGTTTCATATGTATTTAAAGCTAAGCCAATTATTAACACCCTGACACATTCACGTTTCTTCAAAGGAAAGAAGTTGTGCATCTGTCATTTCAATGTAAAAAAATTATCTCTCCTGCTTTAAAGTAAAGATTTAGCCATTAATACTTTATGAGAACCAATAACAACAAATTGATTATAGAAAACATTTGTAATCACTTTATATCATAAGTTAGAAAATGAAATAACGCATTTAAAAATCAAAGATGGAAAAGAAATAACATATTTACAAATAATATTATTTTACAAATGCCAAGGCTCGAAAATTACATTAGCTGACATGTCTCAGGCATTGACTTGTTATCCTGGCTGGGCACGTAAATATTTTATTAGAAATATCATCATAAAATACTAATTACATAATTCCTTAAATTTTAATCAAGATCACAAAGATGTCAGATTGAGGCATCGCTTACACCAATGGTGATAGTGAGTTCGATCCTGAAAAACGACAAAATAACCGATGTGTTTATGCAGCCAGGTGAACGTTAAATCTGTATAAGGTTGACAGTCCTCTTGTTGGTTATGGTGTGGAAATTTGGAGAGAGGGGTACTAGCTCTGACATTATCCATGTCCTCTGACCAGAGTTAAAATTATATGGCATTCCTACCATGATCGATTAAAGATAGAGCCCTGAAAACGGGACTAGAGGCTTGGTCATGGTTAGGTGATGATGATGCTGTTAATACATTTTTTGAAAAAAGTAATAAGCAAATTCATGTTTTCCATTAATATGCATTTGTAAAAGATGTTGTGCCATGTTTACATGCGCCAACATGCATGCAAGATTGCATATAATTTCTGGACTAAAATGATTGGCCGAGCATCCAAAAATTTTAGGATTTTTTATAGTCATGACAAATGTAACACAATTCGCGGTCTTTAATGCAGCTTTGTTTTATGTCAAGTCTTTAGTTAATGAGAGAAATTTTAAGATTTTTGCATTTTTTGTTAACATTAACACATGTTAAGTAATTTTAGAGCTTCATATTTGCTTAGTATAAGCAAACTTCTTTCTATTATCATAAATTTTCCTTGGTCATTACAGCCTAAGTAACCGTTTTATTTTTTTCAAGCAACTTAAAGACAATAGTAACAACAAATAATTGATACATTTTTTTAAATTAGCAATTTATGTTTCATACAAAGGATCCTTAGCTAAATTTTATAATATTTCACTACTCCACCTAATGTAGACTTCAGTTAGTGTATTTAAAGAATGAAGTCCCTTTAAAGTCAGAGGACTAATATATCAATGTATTTATCTTACAAAAATCAGAACTGATATTTAGGAAGCTGGCAAAAATTTTTATGTATTCACAGTTCTTAAATAAATTAAATAATTTTTAAAATTTTAATATGCTTAAATTTTATTTCTTAAAGTGAAAAGACATTGTCAGTTTTAGCATTGTATGCAAATGAAGCATTTTTAAATTTATTTTTAAAACTATATTCTTATTACGTTGTTTAGAATATACAACAATATAAATTTACAAAAAAAGTACTTATTCAGAATATCTAGCGTGAAGAACTTTGAAATTTAAATGGCACTTAACAAATTTCAAATTACAGTGATAAAAAAACAAAGATAATAATTCCAACAAATCTCAGAACAGTTATTTGGGTACAAAACACAAAATATCAATGTTTCAAAAGTATTTTATATATATATATATATATATATAATTGAACAATTTTTAAAAAAAATACTTATTGAACTGACAGATTTTAAACAAATAAAAAATTAATAACCAATAAAAATTAGTATACCATTAACAATGAAGCCTATGCTTACAGCACTATAAACAGTTTCTGAATACTTAGTAGAATCTTGATGGTGAGGAGATGAATAAATCTAAAATTTAAAAAGTTATTATTTGTAAGACATTAAATTCTTACCGGCTTTTCAATCATAGCATTTTTATGCAATATATTAACTTGCTATATGTGTATATTAGTTAATTGTTAGGTAACTAAAAAATTTACAATGACACATCACTGCAGAACAATTATTAAAAATATATGACAATAAAAATGTTATTTGGTAATCTTTCTGAGTTCTTATACATATTTAAACATTTGAATGTAAGTTTTAATGCAATGTAAATTACTTAAATTATCATATTGAATCATGTATATCTTAAATAAAATACTTTAACAAAAATTTAAAAATGATAATTTATACATTTAACTTGAAAAATTGACTACACTAAAAGTTTAACTTATAGTAAAGTTTAAAAATACAATTTAAAAATAATATACAGTTAGAGAGGAACATAAAACATAGAATGAAAATTTTGTTTGAAATCTAGTCACTACAGTAATCTACAGAAACAAACAATTTCATGCAGTTTAACATATAGTAAAAAACTAGTACACTTATTCTTAATTGTTGTATTACATATCTACTATAATTGTTGTATATACTCAATGGTTTCAAACTATCACACAACCATTGTTGCTAACCTGGAAGCCCAAAAGGCCCTAACGTTTATAGTGATGGCAAAATAACAATTAAAATAATCTTTTGTTAATTTCCGCCAGCGTTTAAAAACTTTACTAAATGATTCACAGGTCTTAAACATTTATTTAAATTATACGTAGTAGGGGCCAAAACTATTGCAAATCAAATTTATTAAATTAAAAATAAAATTGTAAATTGTTAAATTTATAACTTTAAATTTTTTCAAAGAAACTATCTAAATGGGAAAATTTAGCAAGAAAGCACAACTGTCTAAAAAGACTTGTTCATCCACATACCAAATATGTATTATAATAACTAAGTATAAACTTATTAATTAACTGATAGATAAAATAAAGCTTACTCTTTTAAAGGTAATAACTCCACCACCATCATCCCACATTAAAGAGGCACATAGTGAATGTAGCAAATAGCCTTCGAATATGATTAAACCTTCATAATTCTATAACAAAATGAAGGTTTCATTTTAAATCCAAAAAGAAATGTTAGTCATAGTTACTTTCTTGCCAATCTAAAAAAGTAAACAAAATTTTATCTTTTTACCTCTTAAATTATAACAATATGTTTAAAAAGATAATTATTTTTTATAAAAAAAACTAATTTTTTATACTTGAATCATTAATTTAACACAACTAAAAAATTTTAACTTTAAAATTAGAGTTTCAATGTAAAAATTATTCATGTAATAGGAGTATTGCAAAATTGATTTAATTATTATTCTAATTTTTATATTCATTAATAAATAATAATTTCCAATTAATTAAATTTCTATCAATTAAATTTTTATTTCAGAATAATTTCAACTTTTATGAAAACGTGATAATTTTTTTTTATTTTTTTATTCAGATGCCCACTCTTAGAGATATTAGCCACTAGTATATTTCAAAAGACAAGGCTGTCAATCTGCATTTACACAGCCATGTTCATTTTTAAACAAGAAATGTTATTAATTGAATGTAAATAAAGCAAAAAATAGTAATTGGGATATATTTTTATGCACGTTCAAAAGTAAACACATATTCAGCAAAAGAAGTTGCATGATCATATAAAAGTTAAATAATTAGTTAATAATAAATTGAATAACAATACTATAAACAAACACTAGTAATAAACAGAATATAAACTATTAGTGGAATAAAATTTTTAACATTGCTATTTGAAGTTTTTAATATCATGTTTCCAAAAATTTATTACAAAATCTCACAAACAAAACAAAAATAGGCTAATAGTTTTAACATAGAAAAAAAATCTAAAGAGTGTCTAAAAAGGAGTGTGAAAAAAATCTAAATCTTTTTTAAGTGGCTACGACTTACAGTCTCTTTATGGTATATTTTTAAATCATTTAGCATTTTTACACCAAAAATGTCTCACAAGGGAAACTAGGGAAGTGTGACTCGCCAATTTTGAAATAAACTAGTGGGATGTATGCAGGTGACGAACCTCCTAATGTT